CCATAGCTATTGTTCCAATTTTTAGTTAAGTGTTTGAATCTTGTATACTTTCTCAAATGCATGCATATTTTCAAAACAATAACATTTTGTATAGGCATCAATACGGGTTCAGGCCAAACTATTCAACAACTTTAGCGTTAGAGCATATTGTAAAATTCATAATCAAGGCTTTTGAAGAGGGAGAGGCAATGAGACTGACACTTGTGGACTTAAGCAAGGCATTTGACTGCCTCTCACGTGCAGTACTGTAAAAAAAATTAAATATCTGGTTTTAAGGAAGTGGACCTAAAATTCATTCACTCTTATCTTGAAAACAGACAACAGATAGTGCAAATAAATGGTGTAAGATCTGAACCTAAAAATATTCTGGCTGGAGTTTCACAGGGGTCAGTCCTGGGTCTCTTTCTTTTGTCAGTAACAGTATAAGCGTAAATATATGTTTTAAGTGTTATAAGAAGTTTATTCTATTTACTTTCTGTTTAGTTATAAGACAAATTACCCTTGAAAGCTTAGAACTTATGTAATCTATATGATGTCCCCAAGAAAGGGTCTTATCCAGATAAATACCAAGAAATTTAACATTGTCTACATAGCCATCCAACATATTTAATTCACACGGTCTAAGGCTAAAAACAATTTTTTGAGTTTTATCTTTGTTTAAGAGGAAGCCATTAGATTCAAACCAAATAGAAGCTTCATTAATTTAGTTTTGAGCTAACTCTTGAAGTTGTTTAAGATTGGGAATAATATTAAAAAATGTTGTATCATTTGCATACAAATATGTTTTACTGGTTATACATTCTGGGAGGTCGTTAATACAAATTAAAAATAACATAGGACCCCTAATAATAACAGACCCCTAAGGGACGCCATATTTTATTTTTAATTCTTGGGACCATTCTCCATCAATATTGACTTTTTGTGTTCTATTGTTTAAGTATGACTTAAAAAAAGAAGGTAGAGTTCCGTTAATACCATAAAAACTTAATTTCATTATTAGGTCATCATGGTCGACACAATTGAAAGCCCTACTCAGGTCCCAGAAAGTTGCCTGAGCAAGTGACTTCCTCTCAAAGACCATTAGTACCTCATTAATCAATTTATCTATTGCGTCTGATGTACACTTGCTTCAAAATCCAAATTGCAAAACACTTAAAAAGTTGATTCTTTCAAAAAAAGAATTCAGCTGATCAAAAGCTATGATTTCAAACAATTTTGATACTACAGGAATGATTGATATTGGGCAAAAACTTTCTGGAATGTCTTTTTTACCTTTTTTAAAAATGGGACAGACTCTGGTGACCTTTAAATCATCTGGAAAGACACCTTTAAGGAGACAGAGATTGAAGCAGTAAGATAGAGGTTCAGCTAGATTACCAATAATCTGTTTAAGCAAACTATTAGACATAAGATACAGAACAGACATAGAACATCATTACTGCTAGAGTTTTTTTTGTTTAGTTTTTTTGTGGCTTTTATTAGATCATTAGGTGTGATAAAATTCCAGAAAAAGGCACTTGAGTAATGGAGGACTTATTAACTAAATCTTTTGAACTGTAAGCATTACTAACAATTTTCTGTTTTCTGTTTTCAATTGAATTGAATATGTGTCCGTTAGCGCGATAACTCGAGCAAAAATTATCCCATTTTGCTAAAATTTGGTAGAAACGTGTAAACCTACGTTTGTTTGAACGAGTTTGAAAACCAGTATGATCGGACTATGGGAACAGGGGTTTATGGGGGGGGTTTTATGGGGTAAAAATTAGTTTTTCCCATTTTTGAGTCAAAAAACATAAAATTTCACAATTTCTCTTCAGATTATTTTGTAGAGGTTAAAAAAAATAATTTTGTATATTGAAGTGTTGTTGTATGCCTAATGCTTACAAAGATAATAAAAAAACTTTAAATTTAAAATTCCTATGTTATTCTTATGGAGAATAAATAAACTGTTGTATTTTGGGATGTATTTTAATTAAATGGCAATTTTGTTTATTTCATACTAAGCTATCAACATTTCAATAAGAAACACACCTCCATACCTTCCCTGTAGCAGCAAACCTAGGTACTCATTAAAATTAATGTTATTTAAATAGGCAATTAAATCTGACCATTTTCAGGGAATATTTTTGTAGAAATCCAGCCAGGTAAATTCGCTTAGTCTGCAGGTTTGCTGCGGCGGGGGTATCAATATTTTCTTGGGCTACCGATAGGCCAACATTTGAGCTTTTTTACTTGAATTCATAATAGACAGTTCATGGTAGTTATTATCGTCAAGCTGTAACACATTATTAGAAGTTTTTGAAGAGACTGTCGGAAAAAGACGCAATACATCATTGTGAAAGTAAATAAATAGAATAAGTTAGTTTGTTTTGACATGAGCAAAATATTTAAACAAAACATCTGATCAGCTGATGATGTGATCTTATCTTGGTCAGACTTAGAATCTGCTGGAAATTGAATGAGTACACAGGTTTGCTATAAGGTGCCATACACATATTACGTAACACACTTAGGGGGGAGAGGGGGTATGGCATAGCGTTATGCTGTGTTATATGGGGGGAGGGGGGCAGGGTTTTGCTCAACGTTAGACTTTTTCCTTGTTATTTTCTTCTACCAACATTGGTTACTTAGGTAACATTTACGTAGACAATCTGTGTGACTGGGTGATACTACTTGAATTGGTTCAGCATGTCTGTGGAATAAGTTAACGGAAGAGTGGTATGGATGCGTGAGGATTGTGACAAGGAAATATAATATATTAATAATAACTATGAGGTTGAGAAATTAAGAAGGACTGTTAACTGTATTTTAAAAGAAGGATTTTACCCTGAGGTTGATCATGCCCATTGCCGTTAACACCTTAAGCCAGCTTTTGATGAAAGTAATTTATAACAAGTAAATCTTATAACTAACCCACTACCTGAATATGTAAGAATTGCATTTACAAGATTACTAATTAATGAACTAACAGTGTAAAATGGAAACTGATAGAAGTAAGGTAATTTAGCAATGAATTAATCAAATTGACAGCACATAATTATTGAACAATTTAAAACCATGTGAATTTAGATTTTGTTTCGACAAGCTGATGTCGGCTTCTCTTAAGGAGAAGACCGACATTTTAAGTTAGAAATTCCACATCCTAAAGCCCCCTGATTTCTCCCCGGCAACCCCTAACTGAACTTAAACTACTTCATGATTGAATTTGGGTTCCCTGATAAATTAATGCAATTACTTAGGTACTAATACTTATGTTTAATTTGGAGCTGTCAGAAAACTTTTCGGCGACGTCCAGTCCAAACTTGGGGCAAGGGCTAACGAGAGCGATTTCTCATATGCTCGTCGTTTTTAACTCTATTCCATTGGTAGCTGATACGCTTCGGCCAGTAAGTTGTTGCCCGCGCGCTGAGTATATATATATAAAAGTGACGCGCACGGCACACTTGGCAACCCATAAGGCCAATGTAACAAATTGTTTACTTTCAATTTACTTTTTTACGTAATTAGATTTTTAACTGCAGTAAACACGTTTTTAAGCCAGAAATTAAGTAATTTACAACATTTGAAGGAAATCGTCAAAGCCGTTTACGAGATCTTTGTGCAAGCATGCATACAAGCAAACATTGCTCATATAAGAGTATACGATAGCCTGGCTTAGTTGAATCAATTAACTTATCAATTTAATAACCATTTACTGTTATTATAGATGTGGCTTTAGTAATCTATACTATTATAAAGAAGAGGTGGTGTCTGTGTGTGTGTGTGTGTGTTTGTATGAGGTAATCTCAAAAACTACTGAACCGACTGGGCTCAAATTGCACACAAATGAAGCTACAGCTCCGAGGATACATATAGAACTATTCCCGCTTCGATATTGTCCTAGGGCTCTGCCCCGTGGGCTTTCAAAAATTTGAGGTGAGAGATTTAAAAGTAAATATTGATTGATGGTATCCATGGTAACAAAGAACAAACCTAAAAAGTTTAAAAATGTAAACAAGCAGAACTAACTGTCAAATGAATTTTGATTTCACAATTCCACACAGCTGGTTCAAACATATTAAATACTACACGAATATTAGAACAGAGAGGGTAAGGATTATAAATTTAAAATAATTATGTCACTAAGCCCGAATGTAAACATTATTTAACATTACTTAAATGGAGCTGTCAAACCAGTTAATGTAATTTCATTAGTGTATGATTCTTTCAGTTACTTCATTTGTTTATGTTTATGATCTATTATACGCAGTCTGTTCTAATATTTGTGAAATGCTGTAATAATATTTTACAGGGAATAAATCTTTGTAAATAAATTGTTCATGGATATAGGAAATAATTAAGATTCTATAATCAGAAAGTATTGGATGTACGGATGTATAGATATATGGATGTATGGATGGATGTTTGTAACAAGTAAACGCGAAAAATACTAAACCGACAAGGTTGAAATTTAGTATGATTATAGCTGACATTCCCGATTAACATATAGACATATTATTCTTACCTCAAAAATCCTTTCAGGTTCGCCCTAGTGGCTCTGGCTCTGGAGTTTCTCATGTAAACCTTATGAGTATTCATATTTAAAGAAATTATTGAATTTTGTCAGCCGTTTCAACTTTACAAGTTGGTTCTATGATATTAAATAGCATTAAAAAGGTATAAGGCTTACCAACAGGGTGCAGCACTATTATGTTTTTTGCATTTATGACCAGAGCTAATTTTAACCAACTAGCAACAAAAAGTTGTGGTACACAATGAGAACTTAACTTTTTTTCATGGTTTAGGTGCAATGGTAGAATATTAGGGCTATGGTAGATACTATAGGACACTACATGATACTATATAATACCGTTTAAATTAAAAGACCAAATTTTAATAAACCGTGTCCTCTCCCATGACTAAAAACATTTATACTTATGTGCCAACCCCGTACGAAGGACGGGTACTCTGCTAGTAGAATAATAAATTATTGAGGTTTCATTCCTGCCCATAATTTTCAGCTCTTGATAAACTCGGCTTTGGAGATTACCGTGCGGATGCAGAAGCTGTCTTGAGGGATTGTAAGGCAATTGCAGCTAAACGTCGCAGACAAAGCACCCGGTTGGAGAATCTAGGCATTCCTGAAGAAGTGTTATTACGACAACAACAAGAACTGTTTGCCAAAGTAAGAGGGTCTTAAGTAATACTCATTACCTTGTCTTATGCAGTAGGCAGTGGCGTAGTCAGGACATTGTTTTTTGGCGAGGGGGGCGGCAAACTGGGAAGGTATTTTCATCAGGCACAGAAAACCATCACTGTCTCCCGCGATCTCGAAAACCTGATCGAAGTCTCCCACGATTGCGGCTAAATCAGGAACATCTCCTGTCTCTCACGGTCATGAGGAAATTTTTGTAGTCTTCCATGATTACTGCAAAATTCTGAATACCCCCGTGGTAACGGAAACATCATCATAGTCTTCCGCAGTTGTGTGGACATAATCGTCTTATCCGTGATCACAGGACAATTCTGATCATCTCCTGTGGCCATGTAATCACGGAAACATCATCATTGTCTTGCACAATTACGGAAAAAGCGGTAATCTTCTGATCGTGCTATCTTTGCAAAAGTGTCCGGTATTTGTTTTGGAATACACAATTGATATTCTATATCGATACCACAAGAATCGATAAATTTGGGGAGGGGGGGCGGCCCCCTTCCCTGGATACGCCACTGGCAGTAGGCTTCTCTTTGCAGTTGAAGGTATACTACCTTTCCATTATTTTATAAACTGAATTAGCCTATTTAAAATGATTGGATTTTATAAGAGTGTCAAACCTGTGAGATTGATCACATTCCCAACTTAATTATAGATTACTTTAGGGTGTCAGAACCAGAATAGAAAATCTTGATTCATATTGTATATACATACAATTGTATATACATACAATATGAATAGCGTCAAATGTCAGTGTCAAATGTCAGTGTCAGACTAAAGCTAATTAATAATTTTTTAAATTTTTATTTTACAGAAAAATAGAAATTACATCAGGTTTTTTTCTAGCAGAGCATCTCAAAATAGTTTACTTAAGATATTTAATTTTTGTAATTTTTAACTTTAAAAAATGTTTAATTCTGGCGTTTCTTTCCTTTGTGAGGCCGAAAATACTCACCACGCAACAGTCAATGGACTCCAGCAGTGATGATGATTGCTCGCTTGTTGGGTCTGATATTTGGGGTCTGTGCGTCAAACTGTTATGGTTCGGGTCGGGTTGGGCCAAAAATCACCAATTAACAGATTTTTTTGTTTTAACTTCTCTCCCGAAGAACAGATATAGTATTTATGTATATTTCATTTTCATATCTTATTTACAGCTTGGGAATTGCCTCAACTGCAATAAAGAAGAACATTTTTTTATCAAGACATTCTTTCCCATGCTCATAACTTTTTAAATAACTAAATACAGTAGCTAAATTACGACTAGTTTACAATGGAACTTAATATAAAAAGATGATAAAAAAATCAAATTAACATTACACAATTTTAGGGCCTGTTGACAGGTTTCTAGACTGAAAGGAAAAAAAAATATAAATGCTATGTTTCCATGCAATATGTATCATTCCATTCTCTGCCTTCAAAGTATAAAACCTCACACTTGCAATAGCATTATTATTTACATCATCATAAATACATAATTTACTAGTGGCTTGTAGGGACGTAAAAAGATCAAATGTAAACAAATTATTGTAATATTTAAACAAACTCAGAATCAAATTATCTATTCGTCAAGATATATATACCTGTACACCATATATTTTGTGTAATAAACAGCCTCTTTGTTTGCTTTTGTTGACAATATTTTCAGTAAATAATTTGAATTATTCCAGAGGTTTAACTATCCTAATGGCAGCAAACATATAATTGCCTAGTTAGTGGCTTGTAGGGACATAAGTCCCTAAAGCGCTCAAATGTAAAACAAACTATTGTAAGAATTATATTATCTATGTGTCAGAATAGATATCCCTGTACACTATATCTTTTGTGTAAAAAAATTGTTTTGTTTGTCTTTTCTTTTGTTGACGTTATTTTCAATAAATAATTTTTATCACTCCAGAGGTTTAACTCTGCTAATGGCAGCAAACATATAATTGTTTGTGAATAAATCCTGGTTTACTAAGGTAGCTTTGGTGTTTGGTCTTGTGGTTAATGGTGGTAAAAAGGCTCCTCTGATTGAAATTTTGGAAATTGTCTTCGTCAAATATGAAAAGTCAAATAAAGGTGTGTTGAGATAAGCTTAGTTCCTGGTCAAAACCGCTAAAGCATCCCAACCCAGTTATTATTTCTAAGTTTATATTCCTTTTGTAAAGGATTAACAAAATTATTGTAAAGTAAAGGCATGCCATAGACCAAACTTAAACCTAGATTTGTTTCTGATCAACATAAAAAACTACAATTAGTGTAAGTTTATGTGGTGGTATTCGTCCTAAAGGTGAGATTGACCATATTGACACATATTTGATCAAAATAGGCCTAATTATCTAATGATTCCTAAATCTTTAGCGACTGGTTAGGGTTCCATTACACAGTTATCGAAACCAATAACGAAATTACTTTTCATCAGCATTAGACATAGACATATTTTATTTGCACATAACATTCTTTAAATGTGTTGGTACATACAGAATAGGTGCATTGTCAGAGTTAAAATTATCAGAATATAAAAAATAAAATGGTAATCAAGAAGATAATGTAAATTAACAAAATTGAACGATAAAACTATTCTAAACTAAAGGGGTATTGTGAAAATCTGCAATTAAATAAAAGGCTCTGTCAATTAAGTGTTCACCTATTTTATCTTTAAAATTATTTTCATTTAACAATTTATAGTTTTCAGGCAGCACATTGTACAGCCTCAGCCCCGCATATAGTGGACTTTTTTCATAAAGGGTTAAACGGTGCCTTGGAAATCTAAAAATGTTTTAATTTCGAGTATAATATCTATGGTTGATTTGAATTGATTCTGGGAGGTCGTTTTTAGCTGAATGAATGTAGTTTAGTGATTCCAAAATGTACAGTCCTGTTAGAAATACAATTGACATGTATCTAAGTTTACTTTTTAATTGAATCAGATGTACATCCCATTTAAGGGATTCGTCTATATAAACACCTAGAAATTTATGAGACGTTGCCAATTTAAGGGATTCAATTTTATTACCATTGTTTCTGGCAGAAAATTTTATTGTTTGCGTTTTTTCAAGATTAAGTTTCAATCCATTGTTCAAGAACCAACCCTCCATGTCATGAACCACATTTTCAAGAGAAGATAGCATTTCAGAAGTACTATTATTTTTTATCAAGGCTGTTGTATCATCTGCAAAAAGAATTACTGTAGTTCCTGATCAATAGCTTTAGGGAGGTCATTAATGTAAGAGGACCTAAGATTGAACCTCGGGGCACACCTGCCGATAGGTTTCCCCATGGCGAATAGTACTTGATCTTATCCAGTGTTATTACAGTTCTTTGTTTTCTATTAGAAAGGTAAGAACTCAATAGTGAGTGACAACTTCCCCTAATACCATAATCACTCAGCTTGAGCTGAAGGACTGAGTGATCAAAACAGTCAAAAGCTTTGGACAGGTCACAGAAAACACCAGCTGTAGCCTAAGACCCGTCCAAAGCCTGGGTAACCTCATTTATAAACTGTGCTAGTGCAGAACCTGTGCTTAAATTTTTCCTGAATCCAAATTGTTTGTTATAAAATAGACAGTGTTGGGGAAGCTACTTTTAAAATGTAGCTAGCTACAACTACTGCTAAATTTCCAAAAAAGTAGCTTAGCTACAGCTACAGCTACAGTTCCGCAAAAGTAGCTAGCTACAACTACAGCTACATTGAAATGTAGCTACAGCTACAATTTTAGCTACTTTTCCAAAGACGTTACTTTTTATTCCATGCACATTAGGTAAATGTAAAATTAATTGCAACTACATTTTTACTGAACAAACATTAAAAAAATGTCAGTAAGTATTGTATCTAACATTAATTGGAAAACAAATTATTCCTAGATTGTATTTAATTTTTTGGCATTATAAACCTAACATTACAACAACAGAACCAAATAGTTCGGTGTCCCATCATATTTAGTACTTATTTTTAAATATTGCAATATTTTTAAGCATCTTAAATGTAAATTTCATTAAGTTCAAAGGACATACAACCAAACTATATTTTAAAAGCTCATTTTATTTCTTTAATATAGATTCATTCATAGATGTCTTATATCAACAATTAAGACCAATAAAACTGTAAAACGATTATTTAAAAATACTTTTTTGTGTTACAGAGCCTAGCCTACTGAAATTGGAGTTTATTGCCTTTCTTTTAATGTTAAAAACGGCATTGCTATAATCTTTTAAGTGATAAGTTACTTGTACTATGAATAACACTTTTCAATGTCAAGAAATCGTCCTTTATTGTCATTATGCATAGGGCAAATTGTGCTTCAACCTAGTTGGTACAGAAAACAGTATCCAGTAACTTATCCTGAAATCGGCTTTTAATTTAAACATGTTGAAATTTGTAAAGTAAAAATAACATGTAGGCCTACTTGGCTATGTAACAAGTTGGCTATAGTAGGCTTGTTCTTGCAAGGACTAAACAGATATATTCCTAATAATTGAACTTGGGACTTGGTATTCGTCTTAAACCATAGCATAGCCTAGGAATTAATAGTCCTATACAAGAGCTGTTACCAGGAGCAAACTATGCTATTTTTTTCAATGTAAGTTTCATGTTATATGGAGATTTTTTCGTTACAATTATCATTTAGTCTATACATATCTTAAATCACATCAGGTAATTTCCTCTTTGTTAATTTAGTAAACCTTTGAAAAATCTTCGTAATCTAACCAAGGAAGGGCTTGTGACGATGAACCACAATCAACAGCTGAAGCAAAGGTTGATAGACCAGATTTCTCATTATTTTAAGGTTTAGTGTTGGTTTCCATTAAAATCCAAGTTGAAACACTATCGGTATAATAAACAAACTAAATTGATTACTAATTTCCCTGTCAATCACTTGCAAGCATTCAATAGCTTCTCTTGTCACCGGTAACGTTTAAACGTCGTCTGCATCTAGCAATTTTATTTTATCTGACAGTAATCATAGAGTAGTAAATTAAGGAAATGA